GTAAGTTTGCTCTTGGGAGCCTGAAAAAATGCGGGTAATATAGTGGAAAAAAGAGTCTCATCACAACCATGTTTGGCCGTATCCTCGCCACTCTGACGGCTCATTGTTGGGATATCGCCAAATTCGCTGCTATACTCAAGCCCTAATTGCTCCATTGGTTTACCAAGACTGGAAGGCAAGTGATTCAATAAACTTCAAACGCATACTCCACTTCAAAGATGTCGTTTGTTGTAGAGCACAGCGGAGTGGAAGGAAAAACATGACAACATAACATGCAAAAAACCTCAGGGTGAGCAGGTGTATTAGGTTAGGCTGAGCTATGCGGGTTAGCAAAATTTACAAACAAATAATCATCTAATCAAGTCCATTTTTTGGGTCAGTCGAAAGCATCGGTTGCCAGACAAAAAAATCTTCTTCTTGGGTCTTCTTTGTGTACTTTTGAACTTGTTGCAGTAACTTTGGAGACTTGCACTTCTTAGGAAGTTTTAACCGTATCAAACTTGTCACAGCGTGGATCTTTTGGATTCATAGGGGTTATATAGCAAAAAATTTTCTGGGCTTGGGCTACGGATTTGATCAAACGATCCAAGCCAAGATCTCCACATGAGGAAACCTTCCACCTTTAGGAGACTTAGGTACAATTTGCTGGCGCAGGCTCACCAACGCAGGAGAAAATATGTGAGAGCTTTCGCTGCAGCAAACTGCTCAGTAATTCATAGTCGAAGGCATCATAACTGGAAATGTTGGACCCTTTCTGCCAATGAATTGGAGCAATGTAAATGAATTTCGCCTCTGCAGCATTTGCAGGAAGCCGGATTAACGGCCTCGTTCGATGGTCGAAATATGGAGCGAGGCAAAACAACTGTTGCGCGTTTCTTGCTTCCCAAACAACTTGATGGTCCTGAGTCGTTGGGGTCTGGTCTGTAGCGCCTACATTTACAGTCATATTTGAATTTCTTTTCTCAAAATACGCCTTGAACAATTTGTATTAATATTACGACCAAAGTTCTTGTATGGCAACTCACTTTGGTTGCTCTAAGGACGGAGTTTACGATGAAAAGGCAGTTCATTAGAAGTTGAGCTAGAGTTGGTCACTGGTGCAGACATGAAGAATGCTCTCTGCTCAACGGCTAAAGGAGGACAGGCAGAGGCGCAAGCGAACTCGGGTACTGCCCTGCTAGGCCCCTGGAGGCATCCCCGTCACATACATTGCCCCGCACCCTTAGGAGGACCACCTGCCTTTTATCTAGGTAGATTCCCTTTCTCCGACCTCCTACTTCATCGTGGAGTTCTTCTGTAACACGTTGACAACATCGCACGCTTTGGTTTTTCTGGCGCGTAGGACCGGCAGTAGGATTTTGCAGGCGCCGCCGCACCACCCTACTGCCGGTCGTACGCGTAAATAAATTAAGCAAAATTTGTGTGGGAATGCTTCCATTCTTGTTCAATGGATTCAGCTTATTGGGAGTTACATTAATGGAAGTTCAGATTAATGGAGTTCAAACTCAAAAATGGACGTGTGTTATGGCTAGAGAAGGGCAAAATTTTACACGTACTTTGCTCTTCGGTGGTCGACTAAATTATTTTGGAAGCGTGTTTGTTTTAGTGAAAGCAATATTCACGCATACGACGATGGTTTGTATATACTTCTTTTTTGTTTTTCATGTACGTGTTTACATTAATGAACAGAAAACGAGGAATGAATTGAACGAATATTTTCGTAAGGTCCGAAAAACCTCTACCGAACTTCAGGAATAATTGGCCGTACTGTGAACCACTTGGTTTTTGGTTACGATGATGTATGGCCTATTGAGCAAACACAAAAGACTTGGGAAGAGGTCGGGCATACACGAAAAAAAAGTGAATGTAATGGTGTGGCATATATAGTTGCCACGGCGTCCGACGAGCTGCGAAAATGGCGGCATACATAGGTTTATTATCGTTGCCGCGTATCGTCAAGGCTGTCGAAGGTAATTTTCCAGAATGGTAAGGTCGAGTTGATGGCCTTTAAAAGTAAATGATGCTGCAAACTAGAGTACTATAAGCGAAAGGAGAGGGCAGAGCCGGCGAATTCCCGTGAAATAAGATTTCTATTTTTGCTTACATTTGGACCAAGTGCGACGTGCGTGTGATAGAATTAAGGGAATGTAGGTTGAAGGAATTTTAACTGTCGCTCGCTTGAGATCAACTTATTGTCAGGCCTTGTCTCTAATTACACTCCATACACAACTGTTGGTAATATATCCGTAGGTGGCGTCCGAGCCTTCCTAGTCACACATTCGCTCGCGTTGGAGGCGTGACGCCTCGCAATAGGCGAAGCCGTCGCAGCAACGTGCATGCGCTCTCGAGGCATTTGGTTTCCGACGCTGAACTAGAAAATCAGCGCACGCTAGATGTTAATACACAGTAGACCGACGTCATAGTCGGCGACGGACCAAGCGATGGAGCGATCGCGATCGCTCCATCGCTTGTCCACGTCGCTTGCCAATCGCTCTCGGTCGAGCGATTGGCAAGCGATTGCGCAATGTGCACAAGCGACGCGATTTGCCCCGCCGCACGCAATGTGCACAAGCGACGGGCGATTGGCCCCGCCCCCAGTCAATGCAGTCGGCTGCGGTATCGATCGAGCAGAGCCATTGCCCGTCGCTTGTGCACTTTGCAAGCGATTGCGCAATCGCTTGCCAATCGCTCGACCAAGAGCGATTGGCAAGCGACGGACAAGCGATGGAGCGATCGCGATCGCTCCATCGCTTGGTCCGTCGCCGACTATGACGTCGGTCTAAGGCTGATTTTGTCCTATTAAGCTCAGTCGTGAATATTATTTTCTCAATACTTTTTCTTACTTTTTCCTTTTCTTACGTTCTATCTTTCTTCGTCCGTTTTTAGAGACTTATTTGAAGGTTTCTATTTCTGTCTTGAGAGCTGCAATCCTTAGCAAACAACTCACTGTTAAGACTGTCGATGAGCCGTGCGTCATTGATATTGTCAAAGAGAGCTCCTTCGGAGAAAGCATAGACAACATCGATAAATCGCTCCAAAGGACAAGAATAGAGCAAAGCGTTCGCCCACCCGTTCGCAGCTCGAATCCAACTGAAACAGAACTAGGAGAAATTATCATGAATAATGCACTCGAGCCAAGTATAGTCTCTCTTTAGCCTTGTGAACGATGAAGAATGAGGAATTTGGCTTTGAATAATCGTATTTGTGGGTGCGCCACGCATTCGCATTCATTTCCATTCAGAACTGTAGTGGCATCCTGAATGCGATTTGGCCGATACCATGACTAGCGATCCAGTATTACTACGAAATCACCTGCTGGCTCCTAGCTACTCAAACCAAGGAGGGGAATTGGCTTAGTTAGAAGAACTCGAAATGGTTCCCAAGGAGGATACGTGGATGGTCGCAACACTACCCGGAATAACCCAGATAGTGCATGGCGACTGCCCACGCATCCTTTTGGTATCAGATTGTCCGGACTCGGCCTGTGGCCCCATAATACCGGCCAAAGTACGTTGGTGGCCTGAGCGCTATCACAATATACGGGGGCATTATGATGCCAATGCATTCAAAACCGCGTAAAAATGTCTTTTTTTTTGAAAGCGAGACTAAGCCTTAGGTGGGGGAGGAGAGACTCAATGTGTGTGAGTCACTCATTTTCTCCCGAGCTCTCGCCCTCCTCCTAGGACCTAAGGGGTTAGAGCCTAGGAGGAGGAGAGGGGTATAATGCGATAGCGCCAATGGCTTGTCCAGGTTCCTACAATCTAATGCTTCTTTAGACGGTGGCATTCTCGAAAGTACCCAATATCCCATGTTAGACTTTGGCGAGGTATGGAAAAAATTGGCGGATATCCGCCGAGCGGAAGACCACTATTTTCGCGCCCTCCAAAGGTTTTTCAAGCCGCCTAAGCTGGTTTTGCTGCTGAGGGATTGTTCAGTTCCAGAGAGAGAAAGTTGATAAGTAGCAAAAATCAAACAAGTAATACAAAAAATAAAGATTGCCGTACAAAAACGCTGCAGTAAGGCACGGCATCAAAGGCAGTAAGTCTTGTGCTGGTTGTCGAATCGTTGGAGGATGCCCGTTGAGCGATGAAAAACACCCAGTTCTCGGATGCCGCTGGCGGTACCACACTGCCCTTCACAAAGCGCCACTGCGTGGGCTTCAACTGCTGAAATGATCCCTATCTAAGAGTGGACCATCTATTTCAGCTCGAAATGTGGGCCAAACCTCAGCTTTTTCAGTGACCACTTCGGCTCGTTCGTTTCTATACAGCACCTGATCGGTTGTTGTTACTTCCTGTGGAAAGTTGCGGATCACTAGAGAATCGCGATAACCCGGTGGACGACGGGGATGATGTGATCGTTCTGAAGACTAAAAGTTAAACAACTGCGAAGAAGGTATTAGGGCTGAACTCACGTAATATGCCGGCAAACAAGCATCAGTCCATCGTTGCTTACATGAGCGAGAAAGTCGGCCAGAAATGCGGCCAACCTCCGTCTTCGAGCTGTTTCCACCACTGACGAAACCAGCGACCACACCAGTCCGATCATCTCCACATCCTACCTGAAATATGTTGCAGTACGATGAGGTAGTCGTGTTCAACATCGCGTAGTGTCAAAGGAAGAACGATCGTCACGGAACAGCGT